GCAGACCTGACAGAACTATGTACTCCTCAATCCAGTTGATGTAACCTGCATTAATTCGGATGAGTAGGGAAGTGTATTTCATTCCTGAAACCACTCCAGTTTCTATTAACAATTATCGTGTAGATTACTAGTCCACGGCTGATTGTTACTGTCTTCGCACACAAGTCAAACAATAAGTCTACGCGATACCTGTTCTGTTCACACCTTATCTATGATGACCATTCTAGTCCCCGCCCGCTATTCAGCTTTTGGGCTATAATAACAAAGCATCCTAATTCTAATAACGTCAGGCAAGATGAAATGTGTGCAGGATAAAATTTTTACGTAAAGTTTGATAGTTTTGCGCGTGTCTCGTTTCAATTTCACTGTACAGCTATAAACATTGTGTTTTTCTTGGTGCCATACAAAATGTTTGAAATACTTCTCTACATAATATCCGGTTAGACGTATTAGGTGTGGGGACGTTAAAGATTTTTATATGTATATATATTTAGAAGTGGGTTATAAATAGTACGGAACAAAGGTTATAATAAAACAACTGGAATGTTTCGTAGTACTCGTCATTTTTTGAACTGAATTGAACGGTCTCTGCTGTCATATGAACTCCTCTACCGATGCTTTGATATGGCCCAATGATTCATGTTTTAATTTGCTTGGTGGTGTCTAGTAGTGGAATTCAGGACACTCTTAGAACTCATTAACCAAATGTACCTGCATCCCAGTGAGTGACGGTGTTTCAATTACGACAACGAGAACTTGTTGCATATAGTGACTACAAGTTGCTACTTACCCTATATAAATGCGACTTCTCAATAGTGCCTTATAATGTAATGTGTGTATATTTGTTGAAGATGATAAGCGTGTCATTCATTTTTGCCTGTGGCCATACTTTATACCCTTGAAAAACTTGTTTCATTACTGGCAGTAGTATGGCACTTAGTTGTTGCTTGTAGGTTAACTGACTACAAAGTCGGTACTATGCGTGCTTTGCCTGCTCGTAGATATCTAGCGATAACTATATGGCAGCATAAGGGAAATATTTTTGTGTACTGACAGTACAGGAATCAGCCTAACGTCTGTTTAATTGAAGGACTTCACCACCTGATGGTCGGAATGCGAAAAACAGGTTAAAGGTATGGAACAAAGCATTTATTTGCCTGTTTTCACATTCCAAAACTAAAGCATATAGGATTGTGAATAGACAAATTTCTGAACCTTGTCTGTTTGACTTTTTTGCTGATGGTGTTTTGTGCTAGTTTCTGATAAACCTGGTGAACCTATCACCACTAGTAGTTTTTCACTCCAAAATACAGGATCACGTGGTAGATAATGATTAGCCCTTGTCTGCTGAGGTTATGTTGCGTGATGTTTGTCAAGTATGTTCATTCTCCAATCTTTTTCAGCCAGTCATTGACATGGGACCTTGAATTACTCTGTAACGGTGCAAGTTGATGCACCTCAATCAGCACATCACTAGTCTTTCTCACATATGTTCAGGTATTTGACTACCTGGGCCTTGGGAGCATTTTCCGTGATGTGGAATCATTAAGTTGAGATTAGATATAGATTAGGGATTAAAGGTAATTTAGTGGGTAGAGTTGTGAACTTGCATCGATTGTAGTAGGTAGCACGCATGTTTAACATCTATTTGGGTGAATACGCTGCTAATGAAAGAGTAGCGGATGAAATTCGGGGATTGTTTAACAAAAATGTACTAGTCATTCCCAAGTTCTAATTACCGGACTTGCTTGCTCAAAGTGATGCTTTCGTCCTGACAGGACTTCGTGGAATAATTGAAACGGGTATTGTAGCTTTCAGAAGATGTGGTTCAGAATTGAATAGATTAGAAGGAATAACTTGTCCTTTTGTATTTTACAATTGTGCCCCTTTTATTCTGTATATCGATTCATTCTTATTTTGACCTACTGTTATAGTCAATATTAATTTAACTAGTTTCTTTTTTATTAGTCTTACCCTTGTGTATTTAGTAAATATGTTGGATATTGAACCAGGACAGCTTATATCATGCATCCTTTGTTCATTCGTTTGTAAAGAGGGCATGAGGTTTGCCGTTTCTTATATTTCCTCCAGCTTTTTTAAAAGCTAGTTTTATGGAGCATAATTTACTACTTAAATAATTAGTTGAAAAACTGTTGTTTATGCATCCTAGGGATTTAAGTTCTGTGTTAAGATGCTCTGACAAACTAAGCAGATAATAGTCTTGTCTCTTGAAGTTATTGATGTAATAGTTCTTATAAATTCCATGGGCAAGTGTCATGACACAGTATCAGAGGATACTTTAGAATTGTTTTGCTTGGACATCTGGTTTAAGAATAAAGAATAGTGAAACTTGTTAACTATTTTATTTGGGAAGTTCCAAACATTACTGTCCTGAAGTGGCGGTTGCGCTATTATGTCACAATGACCCAGAGAAATATGTTGGTGTCAGATCCTGTCATGAGCTAAAAGTCCGTTAAGTTGCCATAAAACTAAAAGCAGTTACTTTTAGAGTGTAAATGAATACTTAATGGTAGCTTTCGAGTGAGGAGTCGTCCTGCTGGTGGGATGTGAGTGGTGGCAGTAAGATGTACCCCACGGATGACCAGGGGTAACATTCTAGTGCCACATTCCCTGTTGAAAGCAGGGGTTAGAAGAGCTCGGTCCGAGAAGCAGAAAACTTCTCAAGCCTATGGTCTTCCAGTCCCGGTAAATGAATTTACTAGTTGGATACAAATCAATCAAACCTATATCTGAAACTTCCAAAAGGTTCTTTGCCGTATATCTCAAGTAGATGTCTTTTGGGATCTGCAGTCTAGTACCATTATGACATACAAATTCTTTTTAGATACTTCAAGAAGAAGTCGCCTTCCCCAGTGTGGGCAGTTGCAAGGTGTCAATTGTCCTCACAACCTTGAGATCATGACCAGCCTTTCATAAATTTACCTTCTAATCTTTATCTTTCTTTATTTCTCTCAGTCAACATTCCTACGTCATCTTTAGCTTGTTTCAACTCTACAGCCGTTGCTAACGACTCGAGTTCACGAAATAGCGTCCCCGGTCTCCTGAAAGGGTGCTCCAAAAAACATACTGGAGCTTTCAATATCCATACCTTCCATCGAATCGGACAACAAGCTTCTCGAACGAAAACCGGCGGAATACGTCATGAACGTATGATGTGTCTGTTAGACACGCATGTGTACAGGGTATTGGAGTTACTGGAGATTTGATGGCTAGTTGTGGTAGTCTTGCAGGTGTAGGTAGGTATAGGCTTGAGTCTTAAAGCAGAAAGTGTACTGGTGTACTGGATCCTAGTTGATAGTTGTCTGTACTATGTTTGACTGGATAGTGGATCGAGGATTAAGAGAAGTGGAATGGTGAAATTCGCCGTTGTCTTTCTGTAATGCCAACTTACGCACCCAGTAAGTGCAGTTCAGGTGAAGTGAAGGATGAGTCCTACTGAAATCTGTGAAGCCTTCTACTGTAAATGAATCTCTCAAAAGTGGTTGTTACAGTAGGGAGTCTCAATGCAGAAGTGGGTAGGGTAAGTTAACCAGAAGGGCATTCAGGTTGTATTTTTTTTGACTCGTAGCCGAACGACCAGATGAGGTTGGTCTCCTACTTCAACTGTTGTTGGAGAACCATGATTGGATTTTTGACCAACTGAAACTTCAGACATAAAGAGAGATATTGTCTGACATGGCAACCACTAACCTGAATGCAACGACCGCTTCAGTTACTTGAGGAGTTAAATTAGCCCAAACTAGTTAACGAAATCTCAGCTTAGATACAGAAGGTGTGTTCAGCATTTCCCGACTTGCGTCATCTGTGGGGCCAAATGGCGAGATATCCGTCTGGACTGCAGTTCGTCCTGTCCCGTTGTACGGCTGAGTGAAAGTGATAGATGTGAATCGGTTGCATGGTTTTGATCACATGTGTCTTTACAACATTGTTCGCATTTGGTGGAATCACCGTGTGAGCAGTGCTGAGGTCGGATAAAGTGTACTAGGTGAGGCAGACAAGTCGATTGATGAGGTTGTGAACCTTTGTCAACTGAGATTGCTTAGACATGTACTGAGCATGCCGAGCCGCTGCTTATCTCGATTGGTTTGAAGGGGATTCAGAGTGACCAGAACAAGACGTAGCACCAATGGGTGAAATCTCTTACTATCGGCCTTATCCGTGTAAGGAGAGGTTAACTACCTGTTTGCGGTTCTCAAGACGAAAAGGAATCAGTGGTTGAGGTTATGTGGCTGAAAATCGGTCTCAATGGTGCAAATGCAATCATCATCTAAAGCTTGGATATTCGCATTAACCTTTATCTTCAAATTGTTTATTCTCTCACAACTTTGTCCACTTTGATATCACTCTTTTTCTATCCACCTGTTCTTTATGTAGTACTGTGAAGTGTGACAACTTGGGGCGATGCACTTGTGTGTGAGGTTCTTTGTTGATTTTTCAGTCAGTCACCTATTTTGGCTAATTCCCTCACCTTTCGTTTCGGTGCATTCTCACTTGATGTGCTAAAATATGTGGTAGCCTGGACCATTACGCAGTAATGATAAATCCCGTGTTAATATGACTGATGCATGACATAGTCTTTCCGCAAATTTTCGTGATGCTTGTTAGTCATCACTAAAATTTCTGTATTTGGACTATCAGCGTACAGAGTATCACCATCGTGCATCCGTTTGAGTTGTCACATCTCGCAGTCGGACCAAAAGAGAAAGTCAAGAGATTTATAGGATATTGAAGTTAGCAAGGATGTAAATGAATGAAGAAATAAATGACTAGTAGAGTAATGGAAAAGTTCAGTAAGTTGGCCCGTTCCTTCTTCATTTTCGTTACGTATTTTCGTCAAATACTTGATGGGTTGTTATTACTGATTAACTGACCTGTAAACTGTTGTATCCCTTTCGCAAAATTGAAAAAGTCAACACTAATAACTACCTATTGAACTTTGTAGATAGTGCTAGCAGTTGGACACTTACTTAGTTCCAGCCATGTGGATGCAGAGACCAGCTATAGTCAACTGTCCTCCTGGCCTTGAGTATCTAACTCAAGTCGATCAATTACTGGTTAAACAGTCCAAGGAGATTTTGGAAAGTGAGTGGGACTAATTTTTCATCCACCTAATATCAACACACAAATATTGTTATTCATTAAGTATGGGTATTAATATGTTTGTGTGCTGGACCTATTGGATTGCCAAAAGAAATCCTTGGGAGGATTGTTTATCGAAAATTTTGAAGGTGTATAATGATACATCTAGGAAGGAGTAGGTTCTACTGAGCTGTTGTCATTCAATTTGCACTGATTGCAGCTAACTATAGGGCGTACTTTGTACTGTGACTAATTCTGCTAAACAGCTTGAGACGGAATTAGTGTTTTAGTCCAATGTATTGGAATTATGAACATGCAAGCCATAGTTGTTACGAATGTCCTGCCGAGTCAGGTTTCTGCCGAAGAAGCCGTGGCATACACAGCGAAATGCTCAGAAAAATCTTGTTTTGATTTCCTAAGCATTCTGGATTTATATTAAAACTTACTTTTATGATGTATTGGTATGTTTTCATAATCAGCTGCTGGGCTAAAAGTGAAATAAAATGCGAATCCTGGATTTTACTGCTAGTCACAGATAGAATATGGTAATTAAGCATCAGAAGGAAATATCATTGGACTTATATTATGAATGTATAATCAAGATATCCTTAAATATATATATATATATATATATATATATATATATATATATATATATATATATGTATCAAAAAGCAGCTGTAAGTTGATGGAAAAATGTAGTGATATTCACTCCTCTCCTCAGGAAATTATAAGCATTAATTTCATAGGTTCCTACATCATTAAACTGAAGGCCATGTCGCCTACGGTTTTCTATATTTTAACTTTCTGGTTTAATGTTGAACACCTGCTTGAATAGGCTACAAATTAATTTTTTCTATTCATTTGCTTCTAGAATGAGTTATGGTCTTAGATCACAATTAGGTTTGAATCAAAATATGTCCTCAACTGTCTCAATTTCAGTACAACTCACTAGTGGTGATAGTTGGGGAGTAGGGGGTGGGGAGTGGTCAGCATGTACTAAAGATTTGACACAAACTGCCCAGAAAATTGTTTCTCTATGTGCTAGTTAGGTGGGCGAAATCGGGCAAAGCGTTTTATATGTTCACTTCGGAATGTTATTTCATCAGGATCCATTATTTGGGAAAGTAAGGTGATAATTTTTATAACAAGGCATTTGTAGTTTCGTGTTCACTACTTTGGGATAAAGTGTCACGATAATTTGTGTATTTCCTCCTCTTGAGAAAGTCATGAACTCCTGAGTGATAGAAAATTTTTACATGAGTTAGATTCACTTTCGATGGAAAGTCAGCTTAGTACTACAAACCGCTGTTCAACTATGCATATTTTCTCTTTTGAAGTATTGTTCATTCGCTTTTAACTTCGTTTCAATTATTGATTTCAATTCTGTTTTACTAAAAAAGGCCTGGTTTAGGAACTCAGTACCCGACCGATAGCTGCTACCTTGACGTGATGGTAGGGCTTGCATATCACAATGACCCAACGAGCTATGCTGGTGGAACGCTTGTTCCCTCGAGGTCCTACCATACCAGAAAGGTCTGTTGGATTGTGGTTAGACGAAAAACAGTTACCGTTATAGTGTAAATTGCTACACTGTGATGGGGGTCTGAGGGTGAAGTCGTACTGCTGCTAGCTGGATGGGGTGTGACAGCAGTAAGGTGTTTCCCTTGGATGACCAGCAGTGCCATGCTGATGCTGCCATCTCAGTGGAAGGGGGGGGGAGGGTTAGAAAAGGTCGGCCCGCAAAGTGACACACTCCACCATGCCCCACAGTCTGCCGGGCTGGCGGTGTAGGTTCATTTGTCGTTTCCTTTCGACCATCCGGCCCAAAAAATACAAAAGTTCAAAATAATCATACTCCAAAGGTTACTTGTGACAGGCCTCAAGCGGATGTCCGATGGGCTCTGTGGTCACACAAATCTCTTTCAGGTACCTTAAGAAGAAATAGCCTTCCACGGTGTGGGCAGCCAGGAAGTGTCAATCGCCCTCACAACTCTGTCAGCACTCAAGTTTCTTCAACTCAGTAACTGACTATATCCGGTTAATTGATGGCTCATTCAAAAAAAGTTGCCAGAAAAGATACAAATTTAAGTAAGGAGTTTTTAGTAAATGTCCATCACATTGAAACGTTCTTGCGTACCACTGGAGACGATTTTGTTATATACTACTAACTTTCCAAGCTAACAATTTTTACTTTTTGGTGAGATGTACTTCTTCATAGGGCTATAAACAATAATGTTTTATTAATTAATTGAGCACAATGAATCACTTTATAACTGGTCTATCAAACATGTAGACTTCATCCATCAACCTGAACTCAATGATTGAGACAAGAAAAACGTATTACTGTTAGGCTTGGTTGTAGAAGGTCGATGGAAGATTACTGCTCCTTTTCGTGCAGGTGTTCGGACAGCCATCACGCGTTGGTCCCAGGATGCATATGTCTGCATCTGGATGAACGTAGAAAAGTTACAGTTGGAATGCTCGCAGGCTTACCTATATGATAATCATATGTAGGGTAGTTTCTACGAATAACTGGCTATACGGTTATTTGAAGGTGACGAAATTGCTCATCCGATAGATGCTGGATACCGTCTGCTCTAAAAGCAGCGTTGAAAACTATAAGAGACTGCTATAAAACGTTAACAAAGAGTGGATGTCATCATCCTTTGAAATGATTAGTGTTCATGGAAGCATTCGTGTAAACGAAAAATAACGAGGAGTGAAAGGATTTGAAGTGCAGATTGACAAAGTTTATACAGTGACTGCCAGCATTGGTGGATGAGGCAAGCTAAAGATATGGAAATGGTTGCAGTGATGGGTAACAGCTTACAGTAAGTTTTGTACACTTACTGAGGGAACGGGCGAAATGTTTAATGGTTCTTGTGACTATAGAGGAGGTTCGGTCCAAGATTTACCAAAATGGGAGACAACTGGAGCGATGTGCACAACGCTCAGAAGGGTAGTTCAGCTGTTCTCCTGCTACTTCTTCGTTGCCAGCTATCCAGTGGGATGCTGAATGGGACAAGATATAAAGTCATCGACTCTCCGAAATGGAAAAGGCTGTAGGTAACGTGAAACAAAGGATGGTGGCAAAGTCATATGAGAAAGTACTGGGGGTAATTAGGGATGATGGTCTGGGATTACTGGTCAGTATGTGGAGCGTTATCTAGGGTGTGGGAGTCAGACATAATTTCTTCTGATTGGTCTCAGTCTCTGATTGTGCCAGCCTTGGAGAGAGGAGAGAAATCCTCCTGTGATATACAGGTATCAGTTTGACGAACGTAGTATTTAAGATCCTGGGCTATATGATTGTTAGACGTCTAAGTGGAGCTCGAAAACAAATCCGAGGGAATCGGGCAGTTTTCCGACCTGTTCGTGAGTATATCATTCTAAAAGTGAAGCTTGTTACTGTGGTAAAGTATAGTTCCATATTATATTGTTTATTTGATAAGGTATACAGTGATGCAGTATTATTTAGTGAATGACGTTTCGAGCAGAATTTGTTCCTCACATTCGTACCAACGTAATCATACAACTTTCACACTTCTTTTATATAGTTCAACAGTTCATTCTTTTATTTTAATGATAGTAAGATTTTCCAGATATCTGCAATATGTGATGAGTCATTCCTGTTACATATGATAGGTGTTGATTCAATGAACGAAGTTTCTGTGGTCAATCTCTCCCTCCACTTTTATATACTGGATTTTAGAGTTGTCATCCTATCCCACCCCGTAGTATGATTATGGGTCAGTACATGCAGACCGATTGCCGAGTTTTTCTCTACATTACTTACCTCAGTAGAGTCAACCACTATTTCGCTAAACTTTTATGCTCTGCTACGCTGACTGACACTGATCCGCTGCTTTGACCTACATACTTGACCTAGCAATCATTATGTGGTGTTTGGTAGATTAGGTTATTTTTTTTAATTGGCCCTACTGGGTCCTTTAGTCTGCAGAGTTTCTTTCTGGGCAGGTTTGCGTGTTTAAATGCCGCCCTAATACCAGCATTGTTAAGAATTCTGCATATATATCTCTATGTGCCTTTTTATACGGAAAGACTACAGGGGCATGTTTCAGTCCCCACTAACATTACCACTTCTCCAATCAGTCCTTATAAACTTTTCAATAAGTTCTGCAGGGTAGTTGCTATGAAGTAGCGTATCTTTGATGTGTTTCAGGTTTTCTGACTTACCAGTACAACTCCCAACCTGATTACTTAGACGTTTTACCAGGCCTATGTTAGGAAGTGCACTGTTTTCGTCCCACTTTTATTGCATTCAGACGTGAAATTCTGTTGAATTTCTGGTGCTGTGAGACTCTTGGAATCGAAGTAATTTTCTTCTACTTCTTGACTGACTTTTGCTAGCAAATTTTATTTTCTATATAACCTATGGGTCATTGGCCTAGACACCCGATTTCCAACCGATGGGTAACGGGCTTGAACCCCGGTCTACATGCTGAGGTTTGAACTGCTAGGTAAGTATCATCAGACCTCACATATTAGTCGTAGCTCATTGCCTATTACACGAACGTGTATTTGGTTGCTGAGTGGATTTCGACTACATGAGCACTTAATCATATACGTATTTCCTCCCATTAATTTTTTTAATGCTATATTCCTGTTTACAGCGTTACTGTCTTTTGAAACGCAAAACCGATATACATGTTTTAACGTTTTGGGACAACCCGTGTATCGATGTTTTGAAGGTGAGTATTTTTTAAAATATTTTAAAATATTTCCACTTCAGGTATGTAAAAAATGAAAACGTTCACTTCTTGTTTTGATATTTGCATTTTAGTTACCAAAAACAGCTTAAAAACATTATGGAGGGAAGCAATTAATTTGTATCATTCTATAGTGCAACGGTATTTATGAAATAAATTTCGACATGCTTTTATTATTCTTTTCGCATCAGTAGTTGAAATATAAGATTTGTTGAGTCCTTTGCGTCACCAAATAAGTAGTAGAAAAGATATTCAACACTAAATCGTATTGATACATTTTCAATGGAATTAATATATTCTTAAACTGTGACAGAATTCATACAACCTATAATTAAAAATATTTAAGGTAGCACTCATCATGAACTAACATCAGTTGGAAGACCATTGAAGACCTGGATGCACTGTACTGCTGTTTCGTCCTAGTGTGGTACCCCTCAGCAGTGCGCACCCACGACCTGTCTGAGACCGAACTCAGGACTTGCTGGGGAGTCTCCCACTAGGACGAAACAGATGTTCGGTGCACCCAGGTTTTCAATGGTTCTCCAACTGATATCAGTTCGTGATGAATGCTACCCCAGAAATAAAATCCTCATTTACCTCAAACTAATAATATTTTTTAAATATTTACGAAGAAAGATATTTCTCACTGGCTACATTTTAAATATTTAAAATTTTTCTTCCTCTTATTTTCATATCGGACAATATACTTAGAAATCATATATTCTACAGGTTTACGTTAGTTTTTTTGGGCAGTGTTATTGGTTGCATCTTATCTTCCGGGATCCCTTCTGATATCTTGCGGTTTATTTTCAAAATCATGCAGGAATTTGTGGTTCATATGGATTAATGTTTCATTGGTCATAGGTACCACGATGATTCCTCCGATTATTAAATAAAGTTTGAAAACATCTAGTGTAAGATTACGATACAGTGTTTGTATTTGAACCGTACTTCACTCCGGAAAACTCTAAAACTCTTCTTTTCATAATCATACTCATTATTTGATATAGCTCTGTTTTGATAACTATTAGCTGATAAACAGTTGAAACTCATGCGGATGCTTAATTATGTAGTATAAAGTACTCATAACCAATCACTCATCACCCTTTCACTTTTTCAGTACAATACTGTTTGTATGCATTAGATGGAAAGTAAAAAAATTCAAAGATCAACCTTTATTTGACCAGAAAATACTTCCTTGTTATCACTAATTTGCTTTTCATAATTTTGGCATAACCCTGTGAGTGTTACATCCATTGACTGATCTCTCACTCATATAACGTATAGCATTGTAACAACTCATTTCGTTTAAAATGGAATACAAATGACATTCATAGGTTTCTCCTATTCATTTAACTTACTAACCATTTCATTCCTCTTGTTAATCTAATTTTTCTATGATGTTGATGCATAATAACTTCTGGGGGTGCTTTGTTCCACTAGGCTGTTCTCTAATGTGTAGCGCTGAAGAACAAAAGTTAGGCGGTACGAAATGCTTGAAATATGCACCACTGATGAACTTTGAAACATGCCACATTCTGACTTTATAGTAAGTAGGCTGACAGACCTTACCGACCTTGAATTTCACTGTATTTTGTTATGTACTGTACCTCTAAACCTCGCTTATAAGATTGCGTTTTTTATCTTTCTAAGAACTTGTAGGTTTTTTCTTGACTTCTGCTAATTTTACGTTGTCTGTTGATTATCTTCTGGATCGGTGTGACGAAATTTTAGTGCGTGAATACTGGAACAGAAGAAAGTACGTAGTGTCTGTGTGTATAATCAACTATTAAAATATATGTATTAGAAAGTCAGGAAGTTTAGAACGCCTAGCTGACTCAGTTTATACCGTCTATGCCTACCTTATTAGCACAGTTCAGCCTCTGAGGATTTCATATTCTGTTTTCACTATAAACATGTATTATCGTTTTCATCTAGTCACGGTATACCTTTTCTGACTCTTCCTATCTAAAACGTTATCCCCATTTGAGACATTAAAATGGTATACGTCAACTTAGGAGTGATACGATAATATGGTCTGTGCCTTTACTGTGAACTGCTTTTGTCATCGTTATCTTTTGTTATCTTAATCACTAAAGTATGAACATTATTATACTGTCTTATGACGCGTACAATAAAAGCAAGTCTAAGCTTTTGTAGTTTATTTTTACGTCCTACAGAATCTGGCTTTTGTACACGTGCATTTTGCGGTTCATCGAGACCCTTCTTTTTGCATATTATTGATGGCAATAATTCTGAAGTTATTCGTGCAGGTCGACCTTTTCGATGTAACTGCTTCCCATGTTGTTCGTAAGTGTTGTTTTCTTCTCGTTTGATGTCGTTTTTTATTAGATTATTTCTCTTACAATATTCTCTAATTATTGATTTGCACTATTCATCGCTATACGTTGAGGACTTTACTCAGACAATGTGAATTCTAGATTTGACAGAAGCATGAATACTTTAGATTTCCAGTTATGTACGCAAATGGTAGAAACCAAAGTATATCTGATCTGTTGACCTTAGTTGTTTCGTATACGGTAAATAACATTCATCATTTAAAATCTAAGTGACTGTTATGGTAGTCATAAGTGAAAATCAACTTTTAATGCACATAGATATTAAAAGGGAATAACTGACATATTCGGAAGCCTGTTTCTTTCAGCACAAAACTACGTAATGCAACACTCGAGAGCATATAGGTTCCCATTGGGTATGCTATTTACTACTTTATAGTGTTCGCTTCGTATACTTTATCGAGCCAGCTGATTTTGAGATATAATTTCTACATCTTTGTGTGACTACCCCATATATTTTGTTTTGTCTAATTTTATCCTTCAAATGTTGCTCAAGACTTGTCATTCAAGAACAGTATGAAGCTTCCCTGAAAATGCTCTCTATTTTGGAACTATTCGGCTAGGAAAATATTGGTCTCTCAAGCCTTCATTACTGACTGACACTAACAAAACCAGGGTAGAACCTCACTCAGAAGTGCTCGAGTTAAAGTTGCCACAATTCACAGTAGCATTCATAGAACAAGTGGATAGAAAAGACTGGTATCAAAGTAGAGATATATGAGAGAATACATAACTTGAAGATAAAGTTTAGTGAAAATATTCAAGCTTTGGAAGACGTCAAAGGGTCAATAGATATGTGCCATTATGACTGATGTTCAACCGTATCACCAAGAATCCTCAGCTACTGATTCCTGTCATCTACGGGATCCCAGCCACGTAGTCGGCATCTCCCTACACTGCTCATACCAACAATCAGAGACTTCATCAACTGGTGCCATGTCTCGGCCTGGCCACCTTGAACTCTTTTTCAAACTAAACAAACATCCCCAAGTAAGGTACGTCGAGGTGGGCGTTGGTTCGGGACGCACAGTACATGTCCAAACCATCTTACTCGACTAAGGTTCACAACCTCATCAATCGACTCGACTATTTTGACTAGTGCCCCTCACTTGACCTTAGCATTGCTCACACGGTGATTCCACTAAACGCAAGCAATACTGGGTAAACACCTGGGATCGGAAACCTGTAATTACCTCATATCTTTCTTAACGGCCATGTCTCATAGCCATATAACGAGACAAAGTGGACTGCATCGCAGTATACACGTCCTCTGATAGATAGTCGGATATCTCACCGGGACTATAGAGGACGCAAGTTGACAAATGTCAAACGCGCCTTCTGTGTCCGATCTGAGATTTCGTCAGCAACCAGCCTGTTCAGGCTGATACAACTCGCTAATCAGGTGAAGTGTTGGACTCATCCTACCATTTCAGTCCCTATCATTAAACTGAGAGTATTTGCGAGTCAGTCCTGGAGCATCATCTTACATTTGACAAGTGACAGCGAAATGCATGCCAAACATACGCAGATTTCTCAATGCGTTCAGAAGCCTGCATTTTATCAGCACCTCCATTATCTGCTTACTCCAAGTCAACCAGTTGCCCTCCTAGGAGTGAATCAATCTCTATGAAATCAGACATACTTAGGGTTAAGTCTATTGGTGCATCTATAGCGAAATTAAACAGGAACGGTGGACAACACTAGTTATCAGTTTCCATGACAACTCTCATTGAGACCCGATATGGCTGCATACGTTTGAGTAGAGTTTTGATTATCACTACTTGCTCGGTATTCCTTTTAGTCAGACACTGCCACAACTCATGGTCGAAATAGTCGGATACCGTCTTCAGGTGAAGAAATATGCAGTGTCGGTCGCCAGTAAGTTTGTCTCCTCCAGAACCTGTCGTAGGGTGGAAATCCGAACCATGCACCTTAGTCCGAGTTCGGGACCCTTCTGGTTCTCTAGAGTTTGTTGTTCTCGAGCTCCAGTTGGGCGTCCGATAACTGTAGACCTAAGGATCTTAAACACGATATTAGTTAAGCTGATTCCCCTATGTTTTTCACGGGAAAGCTCTCTTCTTATAGGCTAGAATGATCAGAGAAGTACACCAGTCTGATGGCACTACCTATGATTCCCATACACTACCCAGTACCACCATCAATCTAACCAGCGATTTCCTACCTCCTTCCTTGAAAACTTCAGGTGGGAAACTGTCAGGTCGTGGTGCATTGTATCGTCTCAGGTTCGACACAGCTCTCTCAACTTCAAGAAAGTTGGAGAGCCTACATTTATATTCCATTCAGGTTCATAGTCAATGTTGGGCAACAAACGTTGCTGAGGGCCGGTCGAACTGTGCTTCAAAGTCTTGTTCCCAACTTTCAGGTCATCAGTATTCCGTCGTTTTCGGTCATGGTTTCACCCAGCATCGTCTTCTTCTTGTCGGTATCCTTATTATACCTAGGAAAATACCGGATGTTATTTAATGTCGATTTCGCCACCCATCGCTGCCTGCGATATTTATAAAGACTCGTGGTCAATTTGCGCTTAGTTTGCTCTCGCTCTCCATCATGGCCAGAGCCAACTGAAACCAATCTTCTTGCATGAATCATTCTGGATGACGTTTGCTAACCATTGGATGTAGGTTACCAGCTATCTTTACCTTTGTTTCTACAGCGAACTTAATATCACGCCAGGTTTCCTTAGGATGAGTATTGCCGTCACGTTCAGATAAATGCTTACCTATCTCTTCTCCATATGCGTACCTGGTATTCTCATCTTAAAATTGACCACAGACAGGTTTCACTCTCGTCTGTTTTCTGCGATCAGTAAGTTGCGAACATACACTTGGCCCTATTAGCGCGTAATCGGAGTCTTTCTTTGCTGTAGGACATGGTAAAGTCTAAGGATCTGACTGATGCAAGGGTAGGTCTAAAAACTGTTTTGTTATCTTGATTATATTTCCAATACAGATTGATAACTGTGTATATTGAGGTGAATGTGTGTTGCAGTAGCTTTTATCAATGGAAAATGTTCAGTCTTATTGTATGTAAGCGTTTAAAGCAGTTTCCCGATTAGAAGCTTATCAGTATTCATGCTTATGTCCTTTGATAGTCTGTCAAATAACAGCGGAACTTCATTGAGGTGTTCAAAGTTAGACTAAGATTTAAATTTAACATCACTTGTTAGCCAGATCAGAGTAGAAGAGTCTAAATCAGAGGATATATATATCTACAGAAAACGAATTCAGCTTCAAATGTTTTCAGTTGGTCCAGTGCTTTTCCCTTTTCAACTATATTCGACTACCATGATTACTACTCTCCCTTCATTTATCATCTGTTGTCATTTGCATGGTTTGTATTTTTTACTAACTGTCACTGTATTAAAAAAATACTTTGGACATGTACATTAGTATATTTTCGTATTGTTGAATCATTTGTGACAAAACTTTTGACTTCTATACACTATATAATCATCCTTAACTTTGATTAAATGTTCATAATGATGACATGCACCTATAAGATGTTTGATTTCTCGTTAATTCCTCTTTTTACTGGTTCATTTCTTTTAGCTGCTGTGATTGCTGTTTAGACGTGATGGAAGTTGAGTCTCCTGTTGGTAATATAATAGGCTGTGTGAAACAAGTGCCTAGTGGCTGTTATCGTAATTATCATATTTTGGATAGCAATCATAGCACTGTTCTTCAAATTCGTGGTCCACCGTATTGTTTGTGTAATTGTATTGGACAGGACATTAATTTTAAGGTATCTTTTAGTGATAGTAATGTTTGTGTTTGAGATCTGTTTTTAGTGAGATATTTTTATTTATCAAAGTTGCATAAACCAGTATGAAGGTAAATGCACAATTTCAGAAATTAGTCATTTAGTATAAGTAGTGAATATTGGTTTTTCATCATTTACTGGTCACTCAGAAATTTGTCATGATATCCCTTTCAGTATGATTCTGGTTTGATTTTTGTTGCAGAAATGATTTGACACTTATGTGATATGACATTAGTTATTTCAACTTAAATTGTTATGCTGTTTTTAACATCTTACTACGACTTTCATCTACGTGTATAAACACTTTCTGTTGACAGGTTTTTGAGGTTCCCTTATTATTTGAAAGTACAGGTGAAACATCAATTTAGCATGACATGATTAGAAACACTTTCTTTGGTGACTTCCAATTGATCGTATAGAGTTTTATGAGTTTTACTGTAGCTTATTTGGTTGAATAAGCTGTTTTACGTAATTGATACTTTCATGGATCATACCAAGATTTAATGAGAAATAAGTTGAGTTTCATCCGTTTAAAAGCTTTAAAATGTAAGTGATTCAAATAACTTTAGATTTCGTTTGTGTGAAACAGTGATGAATTTTTTTTAGGTAGAAACGGAAAGTACTGCTATAAGAAATTGAGTAATGTTTGCAATTGTTCTCACGCAATATTTTTCATCTGCTGCAAGTAAGTACACGGATATCAATCTCCAGTTTTCTATTTACGCTTTAGTATCGCAGATAAACTAACTGGTTGAGAAGTCATTGTAAGACTTGATGTGACAACACATCAACCAAAGTCAGTTCACTTCCCTAATAAGTAGTCCAGTGTTTCAAAAACAAAATCACTACGGAAAAATTCAAACAGAGTTGAAAGGGAAATCTTCAAGAGGCCCTAGAACTAGGTTTTGTGCTTGTTGGGACTCATAAGTAAGGTATATCTGCAATCTCGAGGGAATTGATATCCGCTATGAAATCTGAGCCTAAATCACCCGAGGCTGCAGTCAGAGATGTTACCTATGAGTTCTCATAGGATTGGACTAGATACATTGGTTGGTCACTGGAGGGTAACCAATAAATGTAAACACGACTAGTGTAACAGGAAAATTTCTTGTCAATGTACCTACAACGGCAACAGCAACCAAGTATTGTAAGATAATCGAATATGTATATCGTCAACGCCACCAGGTGGGTGAAAATATGCCTTAAAGGAATAAAAGTTAGCTGTGAACGTCTAAGCATTGTAGGTTTAAACCTTCATTAAAGATGTGGCATTTTCTGAAGAATAATGGTCGGTTTCCAGCTTTCTGTAACTCTCCGAACCGTTAAATCATGTCCGCAATCTAAATCTCCTAGCAGCATTCTAAAATACAAGCAGTGTGATTCATTGGCTTAAGTACTTGACTTAGTCTAGGGACCTAAGCAGTGAAATATTACCATCCTCTATCGTGCAATAACTGTAGCATGTACACAGGTTACTGAGTTGCAGTCATTTTAAATGCTGTTTCCATGTCTGCTGTTCTCAAAGCCTTTTTTAGAACTTTTATCACCTACTATGCTGGTTATTTCAGTCATATTACCATGTAGTTCATATCAGTAGAGATCAATACTGATAATTTCTAGAAGTAACTGCTTTTTCGCCTTAACAGCACTTTGTTACTACCTTCTATGGCGTTTGCCCATAGCCCTTTGAGTAGTATTCTACTCGGTATCAGTTAGAACTGAGTGCATAGGGTGGAGGGTGAGCTTAATTCCAGAGGTTCATGGAAACCCAGGTTTTGTGAACTGGATTTTTTATGAGTCATCATCTAAGTGATAGAATCCATTTCAGAAACAACAGCTGTGCCGTACTTAGTTGATTTCATGAAGGTTAGACACAATGTTCAAGCTTTAGAAGACGTCAAAGAGTGAATACATCTGCACCATTGTGATCGATTTTCAGCCGTTTCACCAAGAGTCCTCAGCCATTGATTCCTGTCATCTTATAGACGCCAATCAGACAGTCTTCACTTCTCTACGCTGTTTACACCAACGATCGCAGACTGCATAGTCAGTCAATCAATCAATATCAACATAGGACCAGGCATTACTGCGTAACGGTCCGAGTTGCCACAGCTCATATCAGTACATCAAGTAGAAAGGTAGTAAGGTGAAAGGTGAAGAGAATGCATAGTTTGGTGGCAAATCTCAGTTTGGTCACCGTAAGTCTTCTTCCAGGCTAATTCAACTTCGACTACCATTGGATGTAGAGGTAGGCTGTGGTCCGGCATGCGCAACATATCCCAGACACTTCAGTGGCTGAGGGTTTATAGCCCCATCTACTGACTTGGCTTCCTTGCCTAATACCCTTTTCCTGAAATTGACATTGTCAACTTGGCGATTGCATCGTTCGCAGGCAATACTACAAAGACATCTATGTTCAAAGCCCAGAGATGATTCATGTTGGCAAATATTAAACAGGTCTTTTGTATCGGAGCTGAGATTCGGTCAGCCATTAGCTCGTTCGTGCTGATAAACTTTCCCAAGTAAGTTAACGCATTCCATCACTTCACTCCCTATCCTTAAACTGGAAGTAGTTGCAGAGCGGTTCTGGAGTGTCATCTTACTTTTGATAGATGCAGAAAGCATACCAAACATATTAATTTGCGTTGGAGGCGTTCAGAAGACTCCGTGTTTTGTCAGCGTCTTCATCCAACAAGACAATTTGGTGTATGCACTCCAGGTTAAGCTGGTGCCCTCCCAGGATATAGGTCATTATGTAAAATCATGCGTACCTTGGTTTATGTCCATTAGTACATCGTAGTGAATTTAAACAGGAGTGTTGATATTCAGAATTTTTAGCGGACATCACTGGTTTTCTCCTAAATTAGAGAAAAAATGTATTGGAAGGTTGATCATAATGCCTATCTGATCCTCATAGTATCGTAAACTTTGAGGTTACTGATATTTTAAGGTCCACCTGTTATTCCCTTGTTTAACAGTTGGTATACCTAGTTATAGAATGCTTAATTTTTTACATTTAGTGTATAGTAGTATCTCTTTGACTTTTGGTTGTATTTGGTTGTATTATAGTGTAAATTGCTACACTATGATGGGGGTCTGAGGGCGAAGTCGTACTGCTGCTAGCTGGATGGGGTGTGACAGCAGTAAGGTGTTTCCCTTGGATGACCAGCAGTGCCAAGCTGATGCTGCCTTCTCAGTGGAAGGGGGGGTTAGAAAAGGTCGGCCCCAAAAATAACACACTCCACCACGCCCCACGGTCTGCCGGGCCGGCGGTGTTGGTTCACTTGTCGTTTCCTTTCGCTCATCCGGCCCCAAAAATACAAAAATTCAAAATAATCATACTCAAAAGGCTGGGTGTGACAGGCCTCAAGCAGATGTCCGATGGGCTCTGCGGTCACACAAATCTCTTTCAGGTACCTTAAGAAGAAATAGCCTTCCACGGTGTGGGCAGCCGGGAAGTGTCAACCGCCCTCACAACTCTGTCAGCACCCAAGTTTCTTCTGACTGCTATCCTCCTCCTCCATCATTACCTTCTAATCTTCCTTCACGTCTCTTAATTAATGATGCTGCATCATCTTCAATTTCTCCTACCTCTGCAGCCTTCGACAACGATCTGAGTCCACAGAACAGCGTCCCTGGTCTCCTTAAACCACGCTCCAAATTACATATTGGAGCCTTCAATGTCCGCACCCTCCGTCAAATTGGCCAACAGGCTTCGTTGGCAAAGACTCTAGCAACTCGAGGCATGGATGTGTGCTGTGTTTGTGAGACACGCATACAGGACCCAAGTGTGGTTATTCACCTGACCTCTCCTGACCAATCTGGTGAATCTGCAAAATTCACCCTTCGAGTTTCTGGAGATTCGATAGCTAGCTCTCGTGGTCTTGCAGGTGTAGGTATAGCATTAAGCACCAGGGCAGAAAACTCACTACTAGACTGGATCCCAGTTGATAGTCGCCTCTGCGCTATGAGGCTGAACGGCACAGTGAGAACTAAAAGGAATAGTGAGACTCGCCGTTGTCTCTTTGTAATCTCTGCTTACGCACCCACTGACTGTAGTTCGGATGAAGTGAAGGACGAGTTCTACCATAAACTGTCTAACCTCCTCTCGAAAGCCAAACGTTCGGACGTAGTGGTTGTTGCAGGTGACCTCAACGCACAGGTGGGTAGACTGAGTGAGGCAGAAAGGCACTTAGGTGGCACTTTCGGAATCCCAGCTGAACGTACAGATAACGGTGATCGCCTATTACAACTATGCTCAGATAACCGCCTATTTTTAGCCAGCACAAATTTCAGACATAAAGAAAGGCACTGTCTGACCTGGCGTCCACCGAGCTCGACTCAGCGATGGACACAGATAGACCACATTGCTATTAGTCATCGCTGGAGAGGATCGGTGGAAGACTGCCGCTCCTTCTGGAGTACGTGTTTGGACAGCGATCATGCGTTGGTCCGAGCACGTATATGCCTGCGTCTCAATGGACGTAGAAAAAATTTGGCAACAAAACCACTACGAGTTCTGCTGGACAACGAAAACACCAAAGCCGTGTTCAGTGAGAAGTTGGCTAGGCAGTTATCGGAACAAAAGACTGTCACTCATCCAGAAGAAGCTTGGTGCCATCTTCAGTCTACTGTAAAAGCAGCACTGGAGACTGTAGCCGACTCCAAGATAATGGCTAAAAAGAGCCAGTGGATATCAGCAGCTTCTTCCAAACTAATGGATGCACGTGAATGCATCCCTGCAGGCTCTGAGTACAATGAAGAGCGAGCGCAACTTAAAAATAAACTGACGAAAAGTCTGCGCAACGATCGTGAACAGTGGTGGGCAGCAAAGGCTAAAGAGATGGAAAAGGCAGCGGCGATCGGTAACAGTAGACAGTTATTTAGACTTATTAAGGAGACTGGGGGGAAATGGTCAACAACAGTTAGTGAGGTTATAGCGGAGAAGGACGGATCGGCGATTCACTCGCAGGGAAGGCGACTGGGACGATGGGCAGAACACTTTGAGGAACAGTTTAACTGGCCTCCAGCCACCATTGCGCTGCCCGCTATCCAGTCGGACCCTGAATGGGACATAGAGACAGGTCCCCCAACACTAGAAGAAGTTGAGAAAGCGGTAGGTAGCCTGAAACGGGGAAGGGCAGCAGGACCAGACGGACTACCTGCTGAGGTATACAAGAATGGTGGTAGAGTTCTCTTAGTCAGGCTAACGGAAGTGTTAGCCAGTATATGGGAATCAAATACGATCCCCTCCGACTGGTCTAAGTCACTCATCATCCCAGTCTTCAAGAAAGGCGAGAAGTCCTCTTGTGATAACCACAGAGGAATCAGCCTGACAAACATAGTGTCTAAGATCCTAAGTTCTATAATTCTCCGATATTCTTATGGAGGTTTCCCTCTCGTCACCTAATTACAAAGACGTTGACCGGATCACAGGTGAATTTTCCTTAGATCTAGAATATGCAGATGACATAGTCCTGTTAGGTGAAGACGCTGACAAGATGCAGAGTCTCCTGAACACTTTGAGTGGGAATTTGAGAATGTTTGGGATGCGATTTTCACCACCCAAATGCAAATTTTTGCTCCAGGACTGGTCTTCAGCGGTACCGCGGTTAACAATAGAGAGTGAAGTGGTTGAGTGTGTTGACCACTTCACTTACCTGGGAAGTAGGATCAACTCCGGTGGGTCAGTTGCCGATGAGATTTCTGCACGGATACAAAAGGCTCGATTGGCTTTTGCCAGTTTGCGCCACCTATGGCGCCGCCGTGATATTCGTTTGTCTATTAAGGGTGGCGTGTACTGCACAGCAGTCCGCTCTGTTCTACTGTATGGCTGTGAAACATGGCCATTGAAAGTGGAAGACATGAGAAGGTTACAGGTATTTGACCACCGTTGCCTTCGTAGTATAGGACGTATTCCGTGGTGTCACCATGTGAGTAATGCAGAAGTTAGGTGTAGAGTTTTAGGGAGAAGAGGTAAGTCAGTCGACGAGGTTGTGAACCTTCATCGACTGAGATGGTTGGGACACGTACTACGTATGCCTAGTCACCGATTGCCTCGTCACACAATGTTGGCTGAGGTGGGTTCAGGCTGGAAAAAGGCCCGAGGTGGCCAGACTAAAACATGGCACCAATGTATGAAGTCTCTGACTGTTGGTTTAAGCCATGTAGGACGATGCAGACTAGGTGGTTGGGGTCCACGGGACAAGAGGAACCAGTGGTTGGAGACCCTAGGTGATATGGCTCAGAACCGAAGTCAGTGGCGCAGATGTATACACACATTATCCTCATCTTAACGAGGCTATACCGAATCTCACTATTTTGTCACTCCTCTTTCCTTTCTTCTCATGCTTTATATTTCTTTTGACTGCATTCACTTATCTTCATCTTTCACCTCACTACCTTTTTACTTGATGTGCTGATATGAGGTGTGGCAACTCGGACCGTTACGCAGTAATGCCTGGTCCTATGTTGATAATGATGATGATGATGATGATGGTTGTATTTCATGCTGAGACGATACATTTCCCAAGATTATTTTCGTTGGTAAAGGTCACTTCTGCTGATGGTGGTATAGAAATTGGTCAGATCACCAAAAAGTGGACAAATATTATCCAAGAATTGTATACTGATGCAGATAATTTCGGCGTTTCATTTCCAATGGACTTGGATGTCAGAATGAAAGCTGTTGTTCTTGCTGCTGTTTTCTTAATTGTAAGTTTCAGTAACATTGTTGAGTATGTTTTAGAATTGGTTTTGGTTAATAACCATGTATTGGTTATGTATATTGTCAACCGCAGTACTCATAATTTCAGTAAAGTTTGCATATTTTGGTTTAGAAATTTCATGAGGTAAGGACATGGTCAAATAAAAACAAAACGCTTTTAAATCAGTACATGGATTGGAAACTGAAAATGCTATTACAAGAATAGATTCTCGTTCTCATGACGACAAATGTACAGCAACTTCTTTATTGTTTATATGTATAGGGAGAGAGAGAGATTACTATATCTTCTGGTAGTATTTATATTTTACAGTTAGGTATCATGGTGATTTGAAACTGAAATATTTTCAGATGAAAGTGTGCAATGTATTTTGTTAGCTAGATATTTTGTTTTATGCCACAGTAAATAATTGGAACCTTATTAACAACGATCATTTTCTGCAAATTAAAGTAGTATAGAAATGCAAATTTAGTCTTGTTAGGTTTAGCTTACTCTACTGCCACTGTTAGTGTCCAAACTACTATCCAGTTGCGTACATTAAAATAAGCATAGTTTGTAAGTCGTTTGACACACGCAATAGCTGTGCTAAGAACATCTCAGAAAAACTATTTTTTATAATTCGGTATCATTCCAGCAGTCTAACTGTTCAGATTCTTACGTACTGGTATTCCAGGCAACCTTTTGTCATCTAAAGTGTATATATGGATTTCACTTTGCATAACTGATTACTTTAATTAACTTTTTTTTCCAATTATGTAGGATTTTATGTATTTCGAAAATTCGCCAAGACACCAATAAAATGCCAAGAAATCGGGAACTGTTTATTTTATGTCATACAGATTTGTATTTCAGTTTCTTTTTTATCAACCTCTATCTGCTTATACGTGAAAAGTATTTAGGGGAAGTTTTTTTTTAGCGTATCTCTTGTCTGTAAAACACCCAGTGCATCATATTTTTTTGTTTCAGCAATACATATCTGGCTTACTTTTTAAATTTTTTGTTATGCCTTCTGTTTTGAAGCTATTTTTTGATATTTATTTTCCTGTTAATTGTACTCAGAATCCTTCAATCCCTAATTCACTTTTCTGTGCATATGCAATTTCTACCATATCTCTATTAAATCAGAGCAACAACGTCATATAATTTTGTTCATATACCGTTTTTTATAATTTGAACGAAATATCTGCAAAATCGGCAGGACTGCATGTTTCTTTCACTTGGACATTTAGATATTTGACTCTGTCGATTGTAAATCCCGTTTCAGAAATACGAATTGTTTGTTTTTTTGATCTCGTAACATTTATTAAGCTAACCGTGTCTCATTTTATATTTTAGTCTTAACCATTATCATTGTTTATCATCAGAAAATGTATGGAATGATTGATTTACGTTGGTGAATGGGTTTTTCTTCTGTACTTGTTGATTAACATATCGTTACCATTAACTTTTGTACTACTCCTTTTTCATCAACTCTCCTTGCAAACTATTTCTACAGCGAAAAAAACAAATAAATAGAAACACAGTTTCTAATATGTATATGTGATACAACGCATAGGTTCGATTTATTTGTTTACTCTTCTGTGATAAATTGACTTAGGTCCTAGCGGTATATATCTTTTTCTTTTCATGATATGCAGAATCAACGAAGTTTCGAAAAATATGTCATTTTGAATATGTTTAAATTCTGTGTTGCTATTCATTGTGATAATTGAGAAATGTTAAACCTTACAAATTCTGTTTAATCCGAATGATAAGTGTAGAAGAGTGAATAAATATCTTTTGCTTGACGGTTTTTTGAATAAACATGACTTTAGCATATGCTGGTGGGAACATTTGCTCTTCCAGGTCCTTCCATGCCAGAAAGGTTTGTTTGGTTGACCAGTCACTGTTATAGAGTGAATAGATGCACTATTATAAGTATACGAGGTCGAAGTCGTATTTTTAGATAGATGATGGGATGTGACAGTAGCGAAGTGTTTTCCACAGATAACCTGTAGTTCATGCTGATGCTGCCTCTTCTATGAGAAGCGGGGTTCAAAAACGATCTCAAAAAATATTCCGTCCTACCTAGTGGCATTCCAGTGACGTCTAAACCTGAAACGTTCAAAACGTCTGTATATGTGGTCAGCCTCAGGTAGACGTTTTTCAGGTATTTCATGGATAAGTCTTCCACAGTGTGGGCAGTTGCGAGGTGTCAGTTGTCCTCACAACCTTGAGATCATGACCAGCCTTTCATAAATTTACCTTCTAATCTTTATCTTTCTTTATTTCTCTCAGTCAACATTCCTACGTCATCTTTAGCTTGTTTCAACTCTACAGCCGTTGCTAACGACTCGAGTTCACGAAATAGCGTCCCCGGTCTCCTGAAAGGGTGCTCCAAAAAACATACTGGAGCTTTCAATATCCATACCTTCCATCGAATCGGACAACAAGCTTCTCGAACGAAAACCGGCGGAATACGTCATGAACGTATGATGTGTCTGTTAGACACGCATGTGTACAGGGTATTGGAGTTACTGGAGATTTGATGGCTAGTTGTGGTAGTCTTGCAGGTGTAGGTAGGTATAGGCTTGAGTCTTAAAGCAGAAAGTGTACTGGTGTACTGGATCCTAGTTGATAGTTGTCTGTACTATGTTTGACTGGATAGTGGATCGAGGATTAAGAGAAGTGGAATGGTGAAATTCGCCGTTGTCTTTCTGTAATGCCAACTTACGCACCCAGTAAGTGCAGTTCAGGTGAAGTGAAGGATGAGTCCTACTGAAATCTGTGAAGCCTTCTACTGTAAATGAATCTCTCAAAAGTGGTTGTTACAGTAGGGAGTCTCAATGCAGAAGTGGGTAGGGTAAGTTAACCAGAAGGGCATTCAGGTTGTATTTTTTTTGACTCGTAGCCGAACGACCAGATGAGGTTGGTCTCCTACTTCAACTGTTGTTGGAGAACCATGATTGGATTTTTGACCAACTGAAACTTCAGACATAAAGAGAGATATTGTCTGACATGGCAACCACTAACCTGAATGCAACGACCGCTTCAGTTACTTGAGGAGTTAAATTAGCCCAAACTAGTTAACGAAATCTCAGCTTAGATACAGAAGGTGTGTTCAGCATTTCCCGACTTGCGTCATCTGTGGGGCCAAATGGCGAGATATCCGTCTGGACTGCAGTTCGTCCTGTCCCGTTGTACGGCTGAGTGAAAGTGATAGATGTGAATCGGTTGCATGGTTTTGATCACATGTGTCTTTACAACATTGTTCGCATTTGGTGGAATCACCGTGTGAGCAGTGCTGAGGTCGGATAAAGTGTACTAGGTGAGGCAGACAAGTCGATTGATGAGGTTGTGAACCTTTGTCAACTGAGATTGCTTAGACATGTACTGAGCATGCCGAGCCGCTGCTTATCTCGATTGGTTTGAAGGGGATTCAGAGTGACCAGAACAAGACGTAGCACCAATGGGTGAAATCTCTTACTATCGGCCTTATCCGTGTAAGGAGAGGTTAACTACCTGTTTGCGGTTCTCAAGACGAAAAGGAATCAGTGGTTGAGGTTATGTGGCTGAAAATCGGTCTCAATGGTGCAAATGCAATCATCATCTAAAGCTTGGATATTCGCATTAACCTTTATCTTCAAATTGTTTATTCTCTCACAACTTTGTCCACTTTGATATCACTCTTTTTCTATCCACCTGTTCTTTATGTAGTACTGTGAAGTGTGACAACTTGGGGCGATGCACTTGTGTGTGAGGTTCTTTGTTGATTTTTCAGTCAGTCACCTATTTTGGCTAATTCCCTCACCTTTCGTTTCGGTGCATTCTCACTTGATGTGCTAAAATATGTGGTAGCCTGGACCATTACGCAGTAATGATAAATCCCGTGTTAATATGACTGATGCATGACATAGTCTTTCCGCAAATTTTCGTGATGCTTGTTAGTCATCACTAAAATTTCTGTATTTGGACTATCAGCGTACAGAGTATCACCATCGTGCATCCGTTTGAGTTGTCACATCTCGCAGTCGGACCAAAAGAGAAAGTCAAGAGATTTATAGGATATTGAAGTTAGCAAGGATGTAAATGAATGAAGAAATAAATGACTAGTAGAGTAATGGAAAAGTTCAGTAAGTTGGCCCGTTCCTTCTTCATTTTCGTTACGTATTTTCGTCAAATACTTGATGGGTTGTTATTACTGATTAACTGACCTGTAAACTGTTGTATCCCTTTCGCAAAATTGAAAAAGTCAACACTAATAACTACCTATTGAACTTTGTAGATAGTGCTAGCAGTTGGACACTTACTTAGTTCCAGCCATGTGGATGCAGAGACCAGCTATAGTCAACTGTCCTCCTGGCCTTGAGTATCTAACTCAAGTCGATCAATTACTGGTTAAACAGTCCAAGGAGATTTTGGAAAGTGAGTGGGACTAATTTTTCATCCACCTAATATCAACACACAAATATTGTTATTCATTAAGTATGGGTATTAATATGTTTGTGTGCTGGACCTATTGGATTGCCAAAAGAAATCCTTGGGAGGATTGTTTATCGAAAATTTTGAAGGTGTATAATGATACATCTAGGAAGGAGTAGGTTCTACTGAGCTGTTGTCATTCAATTTGCACTGATTGCAGCTAACTATAGGGCGTACTTTGTACTGTGACTAATTCTGCTAAACAGCTTGAGACGGAATTAGTGTTTTAGTCCAATGTATTGGAATTATGAACATGCAAGCCATAGTTGTTACGAATGTCCTGCCGAGTCAGGTTTCTGCCGAAGAAGCCGTGGCATACACAGCGAAATGCTCAGAAAAATCTTGTTTTGATTTCCTAAGCATTCTGGATTTATATTAAAACTTACTTTTATGATGTATTGGTATGTTTTCATAATCAGCTGCTGGGCTAAAAGTGAAATAAAATGCGAATCCTGGATTTTACTGCTAGTCACAGATAGAATATGGTAATTAAGCATCAGAAGGAAATATCATTGGACTTATATTATGAATGTATAATCAAGATATCCTTAAATATATATATATATATATATATATATATATATATATATATATATATATATGTATCAAAAAGCAGCTGTAAGTTGATGGAAAAATGTAGTGATATTCACTCCTCTCCTCAGGAAATTATAAGCATTAATTTCATAGGTTCCTACATCATTAAACTGAAGGCCATGTCGCCTACGGTTTTCTATATTTTAACTTTCTGGTTTAATGTTGAACACCTGCTTGAATAGGCTACAAATTAATTTTTTCTATTCATTTGCTTCTAGAATGAGTTATGGTCTTAGATCACAATTAGGTTTGAATCAAAATATGTCCTCAACTGTCTCAATTTCAGTACAACTCACTAGTGGTGATAGTTGGGGAGTAGGGGGTGGGGAGTGGTCAGCATGTACTAAAGATTTGACACAAACTGCCCAGAAAATTGTTTCTCTATGTGCTAGTTAGGTGGGCGAAATCGGGCAAAGCGTTTTATATGTTCACTTCGGAATGTTATTTCATCAGGATCCATTATTTGGGAAAGTAAGGTGATAATTTTTATAACAAGGCATTTGTAGTTTCGTGTTCACTACTTTGGGATAAAGTGTCACGATAATTTGTGTATTTCCTCCTCTTGAGAAAGTCATGAACTCCTGAGTGATAGAAAATTTTTACATGAGTTAGATTCACTTTCGATGGAAAGTCAGCTTAGTACTACAAACCGCTGTTCAACTATGCATATTTTCTCTTTTGAAGTATTGTTCATTCGCTTTTAACTTCGTTTCAATTATTGATTTCAATTCTGTTTTACTAAAAAAGGCCTGGTTTAGGAACTCAGTACCCGACCGATAGCTGCTACCTTGACGTGATGGTAGGGCTTGCATATCACAATGACCCAACGAGCTATGCTGGTGGAACGCTTGTTCCCTCGAGGTCCTACCATACCAGAAAGGTCTGTTGGATTGTGGTTAGACGAAAAACAGTTACCGTTATAGTGTAAATTGCTACACTGTGATGGGGGTCTGAGGGTGAAGTCGTACTGCTGCTAGCTGGATGGGGTGTGACAGCAGTAAGGTGTTTCCCTTGGATGACCAGCAGTGCCATGCTGATGCTGCCATCTCAGTGGAAGGGGGGGGGAGGGTTAGAAAAGGTCGGCCCGCAAAGTGACACACTCCACCATGCCCCACAGTCTGCCGGGCTGGCGGTGTAGGTTCATTTGTCGTTTCCTTTCGACCATCCGGCCCAAAAAATACAAAAGTTCAAAATAATCATACTCCAAAGGTTACTTGTGACAGGCCTCAAGCGGATGTCCGATGGGCTCTGTGGTCACACAAATCTCTTTCAGGTACCTTAAGAAGAAATAGCCTTCCACGGTGTGGGCAGCCAGGAAGTGTCAATCGCCCTCACAACTCTGTCAGCACTCAAGTTTCTTCAACTCAGTAACTGACTATATCCGGTTAATTGATGGCTCATTCAAAAAAAGTTGCCAGAAAAGATACAAATTTAAGTAAGGAGTTTTTAGTAAATGTCCATCACATTGAAACGTTCTTGCGTACCACTGGAGACGATTTTGTTATATACTACTAACTTTCCAAGCTAACAATTTTTACTTTTTGGTGAGATGTACTTCTTCATAGGGCTATAAACAATAATGTTTTATTAATTAATTGAGCACAATGAATCACTTTATAACTGGTCTATCAAACATGTAGACTTCATCCATCAACCTGAACTCAATGATTGAGACAAGAAAAACGTATTACTGTTAGGCTTGGTTGTAGAAGGTCGATGGAAGATTACTGC